GCTTGCCTAACACTTCAGCCTATTTGTTTGTGTTTTTAATTTTCTTTTTTCGTTAATGTGCTTTCTATTTTTATTGATTATTAGTATCCTACTATTGTATAGGTTGTCTCAATAATGTAAAAGCTACAGCATCAACTCTTGATTTAGATGGATGGTAAAAGACAGGTTGTCTTTACTACATCGATGATAATGGCTTCGTGTTTGTTGTTGATAAATTGAAGAAGCTGATTAAATATAAAAGATATTAGGTGGATAAAGCATCTGAGTTGTGGATAGTTAATTTGATGATATTTTTGGCTTTAATGGCTTTGTTTGGATTATTGTAGGTGCTTCCTATTGAACTGGAGGTATTGGTAGTTTCTCACATAGAGATTTCTAATGTTGCTATCATACCGTAAGTTTTCCTCTTCAATGATTTATATGGAGCTAGCTTGAAACTCTCTTTCTCGTACATGATACACAAATTTTCCATTCTTGATAGAAAAGTATATTTCACAAGAAAACAGGATAGACTCTGAAACACTTATTTCTTTGATCTGGTCTCTTTTAAAACTGTGATTTTGATATCTTATGGTTTCAATAAGCATGAACAATTTTGTTCATTGAAAATTACTTAATTTTCCTTTTTTCGTAATGTCATATGCTTTGTACTACTGATTTTAGAACTGAAAGTTTGTGCTGACACCATAGTAGGGAAAAAAATGTGTTCTTACATGTTTTCAAGATGTTTCGGGAGTCGTATTGTTCTTTTTGATCAATGCCTCTAATAGAATGGTTATACAAAAATTCATAACTTTTACCTTTTTGTTTTAGCTTGAACTTATTGCAATTTTGCTACTGTCTTTGTGCAAGCTAGAAAGTATTACAGTACAATACTCTTTTTTGTGCTTAACGTAACTATTTTTACTTGATTTTTTAAGCTTCCATTGACCATCGATAAGTTTCTAATTCAATAGAATATAAAAACTTATTCTAATAAACCGTTCGAAGCTGGGCTTCAAGTATTTATTATAAGAAAAAACAAACTTCAACAAAGAAGTGCTGATAACAACAGATAACAACAACTCAAAAATAAAATCATACTAAAACATTGCAGAAAATAATTGACAGGCTAATTCTTCGAACAATCAGTGGGCTTAAACGATACGGTCTGCTTTTCAGTATCATAGCCAACCAAGAAATTCATCTGTGCCAAGTTACCATAGATTGCAATATCTTGAACAGGAACGAAGGTAAAGCAAGTAACTGTGTCGGAAACCAAGACGAAGGTGTTCAAAGGTTGTAACTTGACATCAGCACCAGTGAAATGAATTGTAATTTCTGGAACTGCAAAGTCAGTTTGAGCCTCGTAGCATAAATTCAAACCCTCAGGACCATCTACCCTTGTCGCATTAATCTGGCCAGACACTGCTGATTCCAATTCTGAGTAAAAATCTTGTGGGAGCAGAGTTAATGTAGTAATCAATGATGATGTTACCATCTGTTCCAAGAGAAGAACCTGTAAACTTTAATCTGTTGCTTCCAACACTGACTGCCTCCAGGGTGAGGAAATAGAAAGTGGGTGGGTATTTTTTAGTCAATGGAGTAGAAACAACTCCATCTCCTGAAATATTAGCATTAGAACCAAAGTTCATTTTGCTTGACTCTCCTGCGTCAGAAATAGGCAACAAGCAATACGAGAATTTGCCAGCAATGGATGTTCCTAATTGGGAAATAAGTGAAACATCACCACCTCCAAGGCCAATGATGCCTGAGGTGTTCTCATCGAAAGTTCCCTCATTGCTGTGTCCACATCCGATTACTATGTTCGGAACAGCTACAGGGCGACCAGTTGTCGAAGGCAAGGTGAGTGTATCAGCAGCAACATCACCAAATGAATAAGAGCCATCACCATAAGAGACTGAATATTGGCAAGAGTTATTACTGGAACAATAGCTTCCATCAAGATTCTCACATAGACTTGCACTACAAGAAATTGTTTTGTAAGTGGATGATTTAGTTGGATCAAAAAGAGGAGCATCTTGCTTGAAACACTGGGAACAAGGCTTGCATTGAGTCCAAATAAGATCACTTCCCGTATCAGCTATAGCAACAATATCAAAAGCTGGGATACCAATGGATACATTCATCAGGTATTCACCCGAATCGGCAATAATATCAACTTGAGCTGCCTCAGTTGAGACAGATGTTGGTTTGAAGCGAAGTAAACGATCAAAGGAACGATGCATGGCATTGGTTACACGCGCGGAGGCAGTTTCCAATGGATTGTACAATGGAGACTTTGGAGAGTCTCGGTGGATTAATTCAACACTGAAACCACCCTTTTGAGCCTCAATAAGGCAAAGACTAGAAAGGCCAAGAATGGCAAAAACAAGGGAGAAAAGAGAGGTACGATTGACAATAGCTGTCATTGTTAGAAGAAATTGAACTCAATAGGATCGATGGTTTGGATGTCTAGAATTTTGGTCAATTTATAGTGTTCATAGGAGAGGTGAATCCAGATAAAACAAATTAAGATTCAGAAATTTCAGTAATAATTTATGGTGCAATGAGCAAAAGCCAAAAGATAGTCAATTTCCCTTTATGGTTCGAAGTACATAATATATATATATATATATATATATATTGCCAGATATATTTGAGCATTTCCTTTCTTGATTGTATCTTTTAGAGACTCTTAGAACCATAAAATCTTAAAGGAAACACTGTGTGTTTTCTCCTGTAATAATAATTTTCCCATCTTTAATGGCCACTTCACATTAATTTTCTGGTGACTTTGCCAAATCATGTTGTAAATATCTTTAATTAAGCAATGAGATTTTTTTTTTTTTTTGAAAATAGATTAAGCAATGAGATTTATTTTCCATTTTTGGTGCATGAATTTTCAGGTAAATGGACTTCCTTAAATTACAATCATCTAAGTGATTAAATTACATTTTTAGGTTATTGAGATTAAAATCACTTTGATATGTACGGATTAATTAACTATGATCAAATTTTATTATTATATTTATATATGAAATTGATGTTATGAAAGAGACCTTTTGACTTGGCAAAATTAAAGTTGTGATAATAAATATTGAACTGATGATAATTTCGAAATTATTTTGCGATTGATTACGATTGTTTTTGTATGAATTTTGAGTGTCAAAATGCATAATGGAAACGTATAATTTTTATTTATTTTTCGTTCATATCCTGGATTTGTGTGCAATTATAGGAAGATTAATGATGTTAAGAATTTGAAAAATCATGCCGGTTGACAAAAATTAAACCTGATAATTAACCTATAAATAGTAGTTAATTTTGATGGCATTTTTTGTAATGGAACCATCTATAATTCAAATTATTGAGGGATTGAAAAAAAAACCTGATTTGAAATAAATTTCATTCTGGAAAATTAATCATATATTGTTGAAGACAAAAAAGAGCATAATAAACAAGAACCAAAGGTTCATTTATTTCAATTCGATCATATAATTATTTTTAAAAAATAATTTTTAATAAATTTAACATTCAAATTTTAATATTTATAATTTTTTTTTTAATTTTTAAGTTTCGGCCTCATTAATGAAAAAAATTCATATAAACAATATATTTGAAAGAAACTTAAGGTGGAACGAAGACTATCCTTGGAAGCATCGCTTACCATAGGGGATTACGTAGGCCGGTTTTGGAAATTTTGAAGAAATTTAGAAGGAAAAAGCTGGAAGTTATTTTATATTTATCCAATTTTTTTAGCTCGACACTTTCTAGATAGGAGAGAAAGAGAGAATACGAACAAAGCCAACGTAGCATGGTGTGGTTGGCTCCAACAGTTGATCAAAGCGTTTTAACTTCTAATTTTTGAAAAGCTTTAAAAAAAACAAAATTTAACATAGCACTGCCAAACAAAAGAGACATCTGAGCAATTAAAATCAAACAATTCCGAATCCAAAAATTAGCTTAATTAGTTCATATAATTAGATGTTAATAATTTTAAATTTTAATATTTATAATTTATAATTTGAATTTAGGTTTCAACGTTTTTCGTATAAAAAAAAAAATCTAAAACTCAATCTTTAAAATCTTGAATCCGAATCTTGAAATAAGAAAAGTAAATTTTATTAAATAAGAAGCCATAACGTTTTTTGGGAATTTTTTCAAAGCTAATTTTACTTAATAATAGACAAATCGATTAGTTAGATTTATGTGGATTATTTTTACTAATCTTTTCCTCAATTTCTAATTTACTTGATTTCATTTCTCCCCAATAAACAGAAGGGTAACAATGGAGTATCAGAACTCAAAAAGCGAATACATTAGCATTGTCTAATAAGTACAAATTTGCATTGTAGCCAGCCAACTGTGCATTGGTTCAAGTGAGCAAACAGTAAAAAATTATTACAGCACATGAATCACCTATTTACAAGCGATTAAGCCCAGAGAATCCAATGTCAAATGGATCAGCAATTGCTATTACGTCTACATCAACTTGAAGTTTATTCCAACATTTTTTGGTTCGGAAGAACTTGCACCATATGCGGCCAGCTCTGTTCTTAACCCAAATCTGAATCAATGTTCAAAGTTGAGGACCATTTGGTGACTTGGGTTAATGTAATGGTGTAGTGACCAATCTCAAATCCATAAACCACAGTTCAGATCCATGGGCCTCATTTGGGTTCAAGGTTTGAAAAGCTAACCCAACGCGACAAAGTTCATTTCATATATATATTTTTGGACGAGTCTTAACTTAAGCTTGAATTTTAAATTTTATAATAATTAAAATATTTTGTTCATATATTTAATTCTAACTTAAATTTAAAAATAAATAAATTAACAATTTGAATTGAGTTAAACTCAATCTCAAAATTTATTGTTGACAAAAATGCTAATAAATTTAATATAAATTCAAATTTTAATTCAATTAATTAATATAATAATTTTTAATATTCATGTAATCTCTTCTCTACGAAGCTTGATGGTGATGCATATAATTCAACGATTTTAAGACATTCTTATTGATGATTTAAAGGTTTTCTTGAAGCAACTTGCCATCTTACTTTGGCATGATCAGATAAAGGTCCCATTCAAAATAGCTGAAGTTGTTGCTTGAGGAAGTCGCAAATGGTAGACTTAGAGTTGCTGCTTAAGATACTTTGTTAGATTTCGTACTTTGGGAAAGTGGAAGTAAATCCCTTCTCTAACTTCCAAAGGGATCAATCCAAGTCAATAGCTTGCTACCGCAGACAACATGATGCCAAATTCAACATGGATCCAGGATTTTAATTCCTTTTAGGTACTGTTTGTCTGTGACTACTAGTGATATATTTCCTATTATCTTGCAGATTTGTTTATTCAATGAACCAAAAACCCAATACAAAGCGTTCAAAATTTTGTAACCCCAAACGGCATCTTAAAAGGACCCTTTTTGAGGTCCGAACCAAAACTCCAAAAGGCACTGAAGTGAAGTATCTCTCCCTCTCTTCTTCGATCTTCCTTCAAACTTTTTTTGTTTTTTTCACTGGCTGCAGAATCTCTTGCGGTAACAAATGCTTACTTTGAATCTGATACCATCCTCTCCTGTCACTTTCTCCAAATCCACTCATCAATATTATCCCATAAAAAGGATCCAAAACCCAAAGAATTTTATTTACCCTCCTGCTTTTCTCAGCAAATCCACCCCACACAGCCCCAAGATTTGCAACTTTAACAAAATCCATGGCCACCCTTTTGGCAAGATCCAAGCTTTATGCTCCAAAAGAACTCATTTCAGCGATATCCATGAAAACCCATCTCGGAAACCAGGATCCCATGTTCTCAAAGCGGCTGCCGCATCTGAATCTAATCCAGAAGGAGAAGCTGAAGCTGCTGAAGTAGCGGCAAAGTCAAAGGCCAAAACTTTACAGCTTGCCCTTGTGTTCGGTTTCTGGTACTTTCAAAACATTGTCTTTAACATTTACAACAAAAAGGCATTGAATGTTTTTCCATTCCCTTGGCTTCTTGCTTCTTTTCAACTCTTTGCCGGTTCCATTTGGATGTTAGCTCTCTGGTCCTTAAAGTTACAACCTTGTCCCAAAATCACAAAGCCTTTTATTGTTGCACTTCTTGGACCTGCATTGTTTCACACAATAGGCCATATTTCAGCTTGTGTATCATTTTCTAAGGTGGCTGTTTCCTTCACTCATGTTATCAAATCATCAGAGCCAGTGTTTTCTGTTGTTTTCTCTTCATTTCTTGGTGATTCATACCCTTTGAAAGTCTGGCTTTCAATTGTTCCCATTGTTTTGGGATGTTCTCTGGCTGCTATAACTGAGGTTTCCTTTAATTTTCAAGGCTTATGGGGTGCTTTGATTAGCAATGTTGGATTTGTGTTAAGGAATATTTATTCCAAGAAAAGTTTGCAGAACTTTAAGGAAGTGAATGGATTGAATTTGTATGGTTGGATCAGTATAATCTCTCTGCTTTATCTGTTTCCAGTCGCGGTTATAGTTGAAGGGTCCCAATGGGTTCAAGGGTATCACAAAGCAATCGAAACAGTTGGCAAAGCATCCACATTTTACATATGGGTCTTGCTTTCAGGGATATTTTACCATCTATACAACCAATCATCTTATGAGGCACTTGATGAAATTAGCCCTTTGACATTTTCAGTTGGGAACACAATGAAGAGGGTTGTAGTTATAGTGTCAACTGTTGTGGTGTTCAGGAATCCAGTTCGGCCTTTGAATGCACTTGGATCTGGGATTGCTATACTTGGAACTTTCTTGTATTCACAAGCAACAGCTAAGAAAAAGAGTACTGGAGGTGAAAAGAAAAGCTAAGGGTTCAGAAATCTCTTCAAAGTTTTAACTTTTCGTTTTTCCTTTTGGCCGGATGGTATTTCCATTTTTTATCTTTTCTTCCCTCACTTTTATAAATTTTAATAAATGACCTATATTTGCTTCCTTAATTTGCATTCTTCCACTGTTATATCCTTGCTTTGTGTTTGCTGTGTTTGGGTTTAAATTGTAAATAGATCTGCTTGGCTTCTTGAAGTTACTTAAAGTGGCATGATCTTTTATGCACCTAAGACTTAGGTCAATCTGGGACTCTGCTGAAAGAGGTTTTTTATTTATTTTTTTTTTTTTCAACAAGGAATAGCATAAGAAATTTGCTACTGCTTTGTCAGCACAGCAAGGGAATACATTTTTGCAGATCTTATTTATTGAGTGTGTAAAAGATAGATATTTACTGTTTTGTTATTGTGGAATGTGTATTCAATTGATATCTGATGCATTTAAATTTAAAACCTTTCATTAATTTGCCTGCAAAAGCAGTTGGGTTGTTGAAACTTATCAAGCAGTTTTTCGTGTTGAAGATCTCATAACATTTTGCATTATGCTTTTAACAAATGCATATTGCAAACTTGAAACTAATGCTACCTTTTGAAGTGTTGAGTTTATTGAGAAAGTAGTCAAGTGAATCAATCCTTTTGGATAGAAGTTCTTATTGCAGGTTAAGATTATCGTATAGTTGGGGTGAGAGAATGCTTTTATTTAAATTGACACACTACAAAACTGATTTACAGGTTTAATTTCCAAGAAGTCCTGCATGTATAATTGCAGTTACTAACTAGCTCTAGCATCTAGCTTAATTCAATTGTTGATTGAATATGATCTTAGAATAATGCTTTACCTGCTTCTTTGTGTTGGTTGGGTAGTTTGGTAAGAGGTTTGTCTAACTAGTTGGAAGGACACCAGAAACTTAGAGGGTTCAGATGTCTCACTCTCCCCAAATAGAGTAGATTATCAAAGAACGGTCCAACTGTTTGAACTGTGGAGATTTGTACAAATTGCTTACTTGACCTCATGAGGGAAAATCTGTTTGCTCTTGCATTTTTCCTTTCTGGTATCATTTGAGAGTGCAAACTATTTTGGTGACAGCACGATTAGCTATCTTCATAAAATTTCTATGTTTTTTGTCATTTCTTGTGTTGATATCAATCCCCATTTATCACTCGTCTATTCTGAGAATGCCTTCTAAGAAGTAGTTTAGGGCATGATACTCCAGATATTTAGCATAACGAAAGACTAAAACAGAGGATAAGTAGTAACTAGCAGCTGCTAAGATGAACTTGTAAAAGACTCAGAAATTCTGTCTTCTCCTCTCTCTTTTCTGTGCAGAAATAACCCTCTTTAGCTAGCCATGGACATGACTTACTTGATAAACTTGTAAAAGACTCAGAAATTCTGTCTTCTCTCTTTTCACTGTGCAGAAATAACCCGCTTTAGATAGCCATGGACATGACTTGCTGTTAGCAAAGGAGGATTTCCTAGCCAAAGATGGTGGCAAGAAACCTATCATTGTTAGTAACTTTCTCCCTCAATCCCAAGTGATGCCTTATTATAGTGCTTGTCACAACTATCCTTACCAACCAGATGTATCAATGTATCCTGTAATTAAATTATAATGCCCAACTTCGAAGGAACTGCTAACAATCTAACCTTGGATGGTTGGTTTAATTAATGTCCTGATGCCCTGCTGTTATCCTAAAAGCAAGGTCATCATCATTTTCAATATAGTTGCACCAAATCAGTCAGCCGCATGAAAATGTGGCCAACAAATAGTTTAGCTCAGGTTTTGCAAGTTGAGGTCTACGAACTACCAGATGGTTGGAAAGCTGTTGCGCGCAGCCATTGAATAGCTAAAGAATTCCCTGATATATGTATGCTCTAATTCATGCAAATAATACAATAGAACAGTGCAAATAATTTGGTGTTTCTTGTCTCTACTGTTTAGATACGGGTTCTCTGGTGTTTACTGTGGTCTAAATGAAAATTGTAGCTTTCCCATTGTGCATACATGTCTGATGGCTTGAGAATTAAGAGTGAATGTTCTTTCTGATGCATTTTGTAGTTTTTCTTGATCCGATTTTAAATCCAAAGTCAAGAATTGGGAACCAAAAGATAACCACTGCGACTACTAATAGTTTGGAATCATTTGTTGAGCATAATGGTTCTAGACTCGAGTAGGCTAGTCGAAAGTAATCGTTAGGTTGGCTCTAGATTATTTTTTGACATTTGACAATGGTATAGTGTTGAGCAAAATGGTTCTTTTCTAGACAATTTTGGAATTTCTATGAACTATAGTAGACTATGAAAACTTTATCAAATGAATGTGCTTACAATCCTTTTGGATGCTGGCCGGGCGCTATATTTTGGATTTTCTGTTTAAAATTTCTCTGTTTTATGATGAGAAACAGGAAAGTTGAATGGAGAAAATAACAAGATTTGACTAAACATTGAGATTCAAGTATTTTGGGGATTGTTGCCAATGATGCAACATTGGAGGTGTAAGTGCATACAAATGCAGCCAAAGTAAAGTAGAGAAAATAAAAGGAATAAAAAATCAATTAAACATGTACTATTTCTGTTAATCACCAGTGGAGAAGCAAACCTGACACCATGAATTTATACAATTTATAGCATACGATAAACTTAAAAAAATTAATGAAAAATTTTTAATTAAATAAAAAATTAGGGAAAGAGAGTGCTTCATTTTTTTAAAATGTAAGAAAAAAATTCCAATGGATTAGCTTCATTCAATATATGTTATTGAACCAATATATCATTTGAATTTTTTTTGTCGGTAATAATTAAGTAAACAATTATTTAACTATTCTTTAAATATTATTATATATTTTTTTAAATAAAACTTTCATTCATTCACTAAACAAATTACGTGGTTGAGAATATTTTGAGATATTAAACTAAGATTTTAATTTTAAATTTATTATATCTCACTTATGATTTATTAATTAATTGAATTAAAGTTGAATCGATATATATATATATATATAATTAGTAGACAAAGATAGATTTGAAAATAAAAGATCATCTCACTCTTTAATTTCTCAATCAATAAAGAATTTCGTTTTGCAAAAAAAAAAAAAAAAGAAACAAACTTGAAAATAAAACTAAACTTCGATATTAATCACTCTTCTATTAATTAAGATGGGATAAAACGTAAACAAATGAATCTATAACAAATCCATGCATATATATATATATATATATAATGATACTTATAACCTACTTTATGATATAATAAATATAGTTTCTTAAAAAAAAAAGAGCTTCAATTTTTTGGTCTCTTATTCATCAAAATCCTAAGGTTAAGCATCCCCACTGCCAGTTTGTTTGGCTATATCTCTTCCCTGTTTCAAACTCCATAAGCAAAAGAATAAAAGAATGCAGAAGATTGCTCCCACGACAAGTCCCGCTATCACATATGAATTCATTATATCTGTGTTCACAAATTAAGATAAAGTGCAGGAAAATTTTGTTGAGATTAAACAAAATAATTTACATTGAATTCAGAACATATGTACACTAAAGGCGACATAACTTTTACCTTCAAGTTGAAAGCCAAACTACTTCAAAAGTACTTGAGAATTGTCGTATAATCTGGAGCCAAGTTGAGAATGCTGAGCCTTAGTGCCAACCTCTCTATTTATAGTAGTTTATGGAACCCAGCTAGGGTTTTAAGGAAAAAGAAAATAAAAAGGCTTGGTCAAGAAATTGGTAAACGATTATTTTAGGAGGGTATCGGAAATTTAGAAAATATTTGACATTTATTACATGGATTCGACCAATCTCTTAAGTATATAATATTTACCTATCAGAGAAAAATCACCTTTAATGATTGTAATTAATGATTATATTCCACAATTATTGTTTTTTTCTCCCTTGGTCAAAAATAAAAAAAAAAAAAACTTCCGCATCATTAATTATTAATCCAAGTTCTTGAAAGGAAAATATATATTCCTTTGTCCAACCTGTTTGAATAGTATTGATTTTTATGAAATTTTAAAAAAATATATTTAATGTATTTAATATTAAAACATTAAAATTTTTTAACGAGAAATTACTTTATGCTTTGTTCATGATATACAGTGGCAATCAATTAACCCAAATGCTAATAAAAATTTGGAATGACTTAAATTAGATTATTCTTTTGTCACGATACTAATTTCCATTGAAAAAAAAAAAGAAAATATGAGAAGTTATAATATGATTAACTAAGGAACATCAACATTTCCCTTTAAACGAACACAATTAACCACGTCTTTCCCCCATAAAGGAAAAAAAAAGTAACAAATAATAATAAGTTTTTATTTGATGCAAAGTTAACAATATCTATTTATAAATTTTATATATTATTAATGAATTAAATAATATCATGTCATTAAAGATCATACATAAACTTTTATAAACCCTTAATATAAATATATAAAATTTAAATTTTTTTTAAAAAAAATTTAATTTTTTTTAAAAAAAATTTATCAATAATGTCATTTAACTCATTGATAACATATAAAATTTATAAACTAAAAACTCAATATAAAGTTAAATATTTAATCTATTAGAACCAAATCTATTATTTATTATAAATTAACATTTTATTTTTTGACGTTAATATATTAAGTTTTTTTGTGTGGAAACTCAAAACAGATGTTAATTAATGGGACATGGCACCATGATGCTAAAGTGTAATCATACATGGAAAATGCTGATTTTGAGATATAAAAAAGATAAAAATACAACAAAAATACCTTTTTTTTTAATGAAAAAAAGAAGTTTAAATTAAAAAATTTAATTGAAAAAAAAATGGATTTACTTCCAGACATGTTAAGCCTTTGATGCTGGGCTCTTAAAGCAAGGGATTGATTTTTTGAATTGCGACCAAGCTGCTAACAGTGGCTTCTTTGCTTTCCTCCACCGTTTATTTATAGCAGTTTATTATGTAACCTTTACTTATTTAAAGATTCTTCATTCCCAAGAAATATGTAGACACTTACTATAGATATAAAAGAAAAAAAAATATCACATGTGCATAGCAATTAAAATTGGATCACTAACGGGTTTGGGCCCAATTATTCAAAATTTTAATGTGAAAATTTATGTTTTACTTTTTAAATTCATAATAACTCACAATTATTTTATCTGATCACATCATATTTGTGAAGGTAATTGTACGAATAAAAAATCTTAAATACCAAAAAATCACAAGAGAAATTAAACACAAGTACTTATTTTGTTATTATGGCATGTATCAAAATAGGAGAAACATTAAACTTGATAAATAACTCTTCACAAACATTAATCATAAGAAATAGCATAAGCTTTTAGTTTATAGTAGTGCTACTTGATAGACTTGGCTTCACTTCCAGCTCGCCAGCCTCCAATAGATAATGCAAAAGATACATTGCACTTACTGCGGATGGAAATAAGATAAAACTGAAAATATAGTCTGTACCGCGGTAAGTAGGAGCAGGACAACAGCAGTGACAACTGAAATGAACGACCAGGGAGAGTTAAAATAATCTTTCATCAATTTTGCCTTCCATTTCTTCAATTTTCCCTTCCATTTGTTCCTCCTTTTCTTGCAGTGCTTGTCCACGTTATCAAATATATCGGCATAATAGAAGTTATTAAAGTCATTGTGTACGTAGATAGCGTCGCCGAGTTTGTTAAACATTTGGGCAACTACTTCATCATCGCCTAAGCAATTAACAACAATTCCTTGCTTGCAGAGTAATTGCACATCCTTGCCTGAGTTGATGAGATTATCCATAAGCATCACATAATCACCAACGTAAGTTGATTTTGAACTTCGGAGGAATTGTTCGTGGGCCAAGAAATTACGCAAGATACGCTCTGTATTATCTTCAACTCTTAAGATTGGAATCTTCAGTGTCCCATCATCGGTAAACTCTACATCGAACAAGCTCATCTTCTTCAGCTCTGTTTCCAAACCTTCCTTCTGTTTCCAAACCTTCTTTTCGAAGTTGATTCCTGCCTCTTCCAGCTCTGTTGCACTTCTTATGAATTTCCATGAGCGATTGCTGCCTTCTTCCTCCTGCTCTCTTCCACGGTATATGAAGTTCCGTAAGCGTTGGACTACCTGCTTTCCTCTACAGCATATGAATTTCCGTAAGCATTGGGCTATTGTTTCTTTTGCTTTTACTTCTGCTTCTACTTCTGGTTCTGAAGGAAGCCAACAACCATTTACGAAGCCTAGTAGATGCTTGATACTTACGGGTTTCGGAAACCTTCCAGGATGACATATACCTGGTCCTGGTAACAGTCCTTTTGAATAGAACGAAAAAACCAATGTAGGAAATTCAACACTTGACGTCTTGATCATGTCATACAGCTTTAAAAGCACAAAGAAAGGAAGCTGATTTTCGACTAGTAACAAATCATAAAATATCTCATCGTGAGTCCCCTTCTTCATTTTACAAAGAATATTAACTAGATAATCATTTAGTTGAAATAGCAGAACAATAAAGCATCCATCAAGCACCATCATTTCTACAAATGTGTCAGAGTCAATGCATTCTAAGGGTTGTTCATAGAATTCGCGAACTTTTTTTTCCATGTCTTTCATGGCTGATACAAACTTTTTGGCTTCATCCTTGCGCTGCTTGATCATCCTATTGAAGCAATGCCTTTTGATAACTTCCATTGACTTCAAGCGTTCCTTACCACGGTGATCGGGACCAATTGAAATTACATTTGGTTCATAGGCTTTTTCATTTTTTTCACGTAGTGGATAAGGCACTTTATAAATACCCCACTTGCGTTCATCGAAGGAAACTTCACAAAGTTGGAGGGGATCTTCTGCTAAACTTTTCTTTTTAGATTTACGAATACAATTATTACCTAAGTCACCTGCGATCACCTGTTAAAACGGGAGTGAGATAATATGTTGATTAGAAAAAAAAGTATATTAAATTTGCATTGTGCCTGCTGCCTGCATTTTTATTGAAATACGGAAACATTCCTTGTAATTTTTAAAAGTATATCAAATTTGAAGTTGCATAGGTGATGGGCTTATAAGGGTAGTGGAATTTTCTTATGTTTTCGTTTTAATTGTTTTTCTTATGTTTAAGTATTTTTTATTTGAAATGGCAAATCCCAAATCTGGTGCTACTCTGGAAATCTGTTAATAAAGATAGGGGAATGTGAATTGTTTTCTGATGTATGCTGTAAGTTGATGAAGGTGCACTGCTTGGAGGCAGCAGCTGCAGTTGCTGCCTCCAGGTATTAGCAGCAGCAGCTGCAGTGCTTGCTACCTCCAGCCTTTGTACTGAAAATAAATAAATAAATAAGGTTGTATTTAAGGTTAGTGATGCTCTTGGCCAGCTACCAAATTGAGTACAAGCTTGAGATTATAGTGGGAGAGAGTAAGATGGTACATGATTGTGGTGTTAGTTGAGCAATTGAGAATTTTTTGGAGCCTTTGATCTTGCTTCATTGTTTGCTAAGCAACCCATATTTATAATCCTCATCTTGTTTTTTTGTTGGAATTTCAAAATTTTACCTTTTTTGGGGTTTCATTGTTTTTCTAATTTGTGGGGTAGTGAATTTGGTCGAGGTGATTGTTTTTCTAATCCCAGTGTTGCGACTCCTGAAGCTAATAATTTTATAGCTTTTGTTTTTTGATTTTATTATGTTGGCAAGTTGAAAAACATGTGTAGAGTTTCTATGTATAATTTATGGGTTTTATGTTTTATGCTATTAAAGTAATGAAATGGAATTCAATTTTATATTATTTGTAGTCATATTTTACTCATTGCAATATGTTTTTATAATTTTAAAAATTAAATTCAGAACAACAAAAAAATTCAAAATAAGGGAGTTTGTGACAAAAAAATGCCACCATATAAAACAACGTTTATAATCAGAATCTCAACTATTTAGCAGTGTTTTTATATAAAAACATCCTCAACTGTATCTAAAAAAAAATCATTATTTAACTGCATTTATTAAAAAAATCACAAATAACAGCGTTTTGTAATGCAATCGCTACTAAGTTAAAAAATTTCAATACCAAAATCACATTTCATGTCATTCCTAAATTGTTGGGATTAAAAATTGAAAAAAAAAGTTGTTGGGGTTAAAAACACGTCACTAAATGACAAAAATTAAATAAAATAAAGGCCACGGAAAACATATTTTTCTGTACTATCTTTGCAAGTGGGTCGGGCTTTTTCTGGTTAATTCAGTACACATATCCTATTATCCAAAGAAGTAAACTTGTGATTAGCTAAATATATGAATTCAGAATATTTCGCCCTTTTACATCTCTCTATTATTTTTTTCCCTAAATTTATATCCTCTTCATTTATTGTTCTTCGAGTCTTTTAAAAACAATTGTATAATTAATTTCGATTATATTAAAAATAACGGCTATGATAAAACTAAAAAGTCACAGGAATAAGAGTGTTAGACTAAATTAAGTGATTAGTCCATATTTGCTTTTATAAAAATATAGTGAGGTACAGAAAAAAAAATGTGATGGTTAAAAATGTATTAATTCGTGTATTATGCAATTTATAATTATTTAATATTTATAAAATTAATAAAAATATTTTTATATCAAAATAATATTTTTTAAAATAATTAACAATAGTATTACTTATTTACAAATATTTAAAATGAATAACATAATAAATAACTTAAAAATCTTCAAACCAAAAAACTTGAAAAGTTCTAACAAATTAAAAATAAAAGAAATGGGAAGGTTAACAAGATTAAATAATTTTAAAACTTAAAATAAAAATTAAAAAAATTAATATGAAGAAAAAAAAAAAAAAGAGAAAGCGGGGACTTTTCCTGTTTCATGCCAAGCAAGAAAAATGAACAAAAAAGCTATAATGGAAAGGAAAGTGCGATTGGGAAAAGGGGAGTGATCTTCACTAAACCCATGAGGCTCCAAACTAGGATTCTACGATTGGAAGCTACAGTCAAATAGCATTGGAGCTCCCCGCATCACCAAACGAGATCGAAGAAACTCAATTTACGCGATGCGGGAGAAAAACGAAATGCTACTTGTCCTTTTCAATTACCTGGTCTGAAGCTTGATGAAGCCAATCCGAAGAAAAACGCTCTTCTGATGACGGCTTTTCTCTGTTATCTAAGCTTTCTATTATAATGCGAATGTCGTCATTACTTGCCATTACCTGCACAAAAGTGGATACAACTCCGTTATTATGGGAATAACACCTCTTGGAAATTAGTCAAAATGAATACGACATTGACTCTATATTTTTACTAAGCAAAGAATGAATCGAATTTTGTTTGGATTTACCGCCCAAAGTTGAAGCAGAATTGTGCTTGTGCTTGTGCTTCTGAAATTTGGACTTAGTCTAAAATCGATGTGGTATAAATAGAGGTTTCAATCGAATGAGTTCCAAATCATTTTAAATTTAAATAATTTTAAGTTTCAATCATTTCAAATTTAAATCTTTTACTTTAATTAGGGATAGATGACCTCAAGAGCAAGAGAGGGCCATGGTCCATCCAAAAAATTTGAAAACGCCAAGTCTCTCTCTCTCTCTCTCTCTCTCTCTCTCTCTATATATATATATATATATATATATATAAAAGTGAAAATCACGTGCATGTATATCTCAATAAAAATTAATAATAGTTAATTTATTCTCCAAAAAAATCAAATTCAGAGTTTCTATGCTTATTTTTATTCTTACATGCACACTTATGTTTTTTTACAAGATTCATCTCTATTTTTTGTAATTACTTTTGCAAACGAAATCTAAAAGATCCAAGTTGATAGTGATCATTTCGAATTTTATATTGATTCGATTTTGAAATGTATTTTAAATTTGAATTAGGTATGAAGGTCTAAATTATTGATTTTTTTTATCAAAGAACTTTGAGGAACATTAAAAATTATAATGGATTGAACGAAATTTTAAAATTCAGTCATTTTTACTATCCTCATCTATAAATTTATAATTATACGTAAATTGTCATTGGTGCAATACACAAAATAATTTTATTTATTTCATATGTATATACTTATAAATTAATATTAAATTATGTTTAAGTTTTAAAATGTACAACATAAAATTTTATATCTGACTAACTTATTATAAAAATAAGATTTTTCAAAAAAGTAAGAAGAAAATTACATATTTTCACTTTGCACCATCTTTATTTGCAATAATATTTATACACCTAAAATTTATATCAAATAAAAATAAATTACATATTTTTCTTAAAAAAATAAAAACACATATATTATCGAATGATGAATTAAATAATAAAAAAAGTATAAGCATACTTTTACTTTTGTAATCTTATTCAAATTACTATATAAAATATGAAACATGTTAAGAGATGTGTAAAAAAAATAAATTGAAAAAATTATTAATTTTCATAAAAACAAACTTGAAATAGTAATAAAATATACCTTAAAAAAATAAAGATGCAAATCGTAAAAATAAATTGCAATAGAAATAGAATTCCAAAAAGTTGCAAACCTAAAAATAAAAAAAAAAATGATATAACACATTACATTTATAATCTTTAATTTGTAGAATAATTCTTGGATGACATTTAAGATTAAATAGATAATATTTAAATTGATCTTTAAAAAATTAAAAAGACATAATAAGTGATAAAAATTAAATCAAATTTTTTGTCTATTTTTAAAATATAAATTTGATAGTTAGAGTTGAGATGGATATAAGTTCTATTATTTAAAGATTTAATATGAAAAAATTATCTGAATTTTTACTTAAATTTTTGAAAAAATAATTTTTGTTTGATATAAATTAAGATAAAAAATATAGTAAGTTTTTTAAAGATTCAGATAAATTTTATTTTTATATTGTTAAAATATGATGAAAGATTTTCATAATTAAATAATTTATAAAATAAGGTTATCTAATAAAAAAATTAAAATTTTGGATAAAATTCATATTTCAAAATTTTAATTTTAAAAAAATATATTTCTAAATTAATTTGATTTGTAATTATAACTTAAATAAATTTAAAATTATTTAATTTATAATTAAAAAATTATACTTTTTAAAAAAACCATCTCACATATCATCCAAAGAACTCTTTTACATGACAAATCTTATTAGGTATTTTTATATATCATAATATATATATATATGATGATACAGATACCTACAAAAGTATTTAGTGACGTATATGAATGACATCAGCTTATTACTTCACATATTCAAATAATTGTACGAAATAATACACTGAAGTCATCATAATTCAAATTATAATGGATTGAACAGCATTTTAGAATTCAATCACTTTTATTATCCCTATCTATAAATTTATAATTGGAATGCGACAGACACCTACAAAATTGTTTACTGACATATACGAACGACATCAATTTATTAGTTCACATATTCAAATAAACGCACTGTCTATGATAATGACACATCACAACTACAATAGTACTTACAACTACGATAGTACAAACCCTTTTAATTTGTCTACAAAAGTCTAAAGCATATCACCTATAATTTAATTAATCAATATAATTATAATTTATATAAAATTTATATTTATAAATAACAAATTTTTATTATGATTAAACAATTATAAAATTACAAAAAACTTATAAGTGAAATACGTCAGGAAAATCTAAAAATAATATCCGCATTTATCTTAATCCAAAGTCCATTCCTCATCCAAATTAGGAGAGCTATGTACAATTCACTCCTCTTATATTTTCTTTTCCTTATAACAAGCAATTGACCTGGCACGTTGTAGCGAGATGTGAGTTTTCCTTTTATTCAATAAATATTTATATATTATTCCGCTTTTCTTTTTTTTATTATTTTTTTTAGTAAAAAAAATTATTATATAGTAAAGGAAAATGATAGGTAGTAAAATTGATTCAGAATATATAAATAAATAAAAATAAAACATAAATTTTCTAGTATATGTTATTCTGCTGTATAAAAGTAAAATTTTACATTTTTTTCAAACAAATACAAATTAATTTGAAGTTCAAGCTAGCATACCACGATTAAGGACAGTTCAAAGCAATTAAAATTTCACAATTTTTGTATTTGTGTCATATATCACGTTATATTTGACATGTATAATATCACAAATTATTAAAATACAGATAAGATACAAATTATAAAATGTGTCTAAATCTTAAACGTAAATATAATATATTTATTATGTATGTTACATGTTACATGACAAAACTAACACGCATATAATTAATTCATTTAAACGCAATATGTATAACACAATATGACATGAATAGATACAAATAATATGATTACACAAAATACATATATACATGAATAGACATAAGTAACAAAAATATATATGATAACACAACTATACATGAATAACATAACTAAATCAATAAACAACTATCAATTTACAAGTTATAATTAGAAGCAAGAGTAAATACTAAATAATGGAAGACACTAAATACTAAACAATAGCTTATTACACATTTAATTTCAAATATTTAATTTCTTGTCATGTGATTTAGAATAAAGTAGTTAAATAAGTCATTGATATGTATATTTGCAGTAATAATTCATAAGTTATCTTTAAATAATCTTTTATCATGTAATGTAAAATAAATTGTATAATTTTTTATATTATACATATTATTTAGAATATGTATTGGTTTTAATTTCAAGTTTATAATCTTTTATTTTGACTTTATGATCAAAATAATTTCTTATTATGATTCATGTTATTAAGATGATTATATAGTTTCTTATCATTATACATGTTACTTTTTATGTAAAGAAGCCGTAGCTTGAGATAGAAAAAAAGTTACAAATATTGGGATTTAAATATCAAACCTATTAAATACCGCATTATAAGTATAATATGCGTAATCTCTTATTGTATTTTCATGTGATTTGAATTAATTTGATCAATGATTGTAATATTGGATGTTATTTGTTATTAAAAATTAAGTGTATATTATCATTCTCAATTTTTTTTAAAGAATTTTTTAAAATCTTATTATAAAAAGTTACAAAAAATAATATATATCTAATATGTTAAGATATATATATTTAATATAAACATTACTAATATAAAAAATACTTGAGTATTAAAAAATATGAAAATTGATACCCATTTAATATGCATTTAACAAATACATATAATGAAATATTAAAGATTAAAAAGTAAATTACTAAATAATAACTTATCGTACTAATATAAAAATAAATTAAACGTATATTCATGTGACATAATTGAATTAAATATATTTTTTATGTTATGTTATATCTATATGATATATTTTATTTAAATATGTGTTTCATGTTTTATATATATTTAATCATATTAACATGTATAAAAGATAAATAGTGTCATATATAAATTTTTGCATATCAACATAAATAAATACGAAACATATTTTTTTAAAATTTATATATAATTTTTATGTTATATTATTATATTATATTTAAATTTTAAAATTGTCATGTCTAACGCAATTGATGATTGCAGCGTCATAAATGACGTAATTTTTATTTGTTCGACCGTTGTTTTCAACCTTTATTGTTGGTGCGGACGTTTATAAGTATTGCTTCTTTCAAGTCATTTTTTTACATTTATTGTTGTTTGATGGACGTTTTAATTTTTTTTTTTTTTTCTTTGGTTATTTGTCTATAATTTGTTATTCAAACAACGCAAAAACTCAAAAGAGCTCGAACCAAACTTCAATTTAAAAATTTTAAAAACTCTACCCGTGTTTGATTTGTTTAAAAAGCACATAATTAAACAGGACAAATCCTAAATCATCATATTCGATTATTTTATCATCCCACGTGCAATCACTTTTTTATCATAAAAATAATCCATTTTAATTAAAAAAAGAAAATATTTAAAAAAAAAAAAAAGAAAAAAAAACAAAGAAATTTAAAAAAGGAGATGCCCCGTGAAGAGTCCCCTTCGCGAACTTTTACAAATTTTATTATATGAATTTTATTTTTTTACTTTTTTCATTCGTTTTTGTTAAAAAAACATTTAGCCAAACCAAACGTTAAAAAATATTTACAATTATATAATATTTTAAGTAATATGCTTTTTATGGTTTGGTTTGGAACAAATTATTTTTTTTAAAGAAAAAAACATCCTAACAACCAAAAGTTTGTCTTTATTAGTAGTTATAGCATGTACAAGGCCATACAACCACCCAAGAAACCGTGCGCATGTGTATTGAATGTATTAGATGTTATTTGTTATTAAAAATTAAGGATATATTATCATTCTCAATTTAAAATTTTTTTTAAAATTTTATTATAAAAAATTATAAATAACAATATATATCTAATAAGTTAAGATTTATATATATATTTATATATTTAATATAAACATTATTAATATAAAAAATACTTGCATATTAAAAAATATAAAAATTGATACCCATTTAATATACATTTAATATTTACATTATTAACAAAAAATCATAAATATATACATAATTATATTTGTTTTTAGCACTAACAAATCCAAAATGGTGACATATTAAAGATTAAAAAATAAATTACTAAATAATAACCTATCGTACTAATATAAAAATAAATTAAACGTATATTCATGTGACATAATTTAATTAAATATGTTTTTCGTATTTTGTCATGTATAAAATGTATATCTATATGATATATTTTATTTAAATATGTGTTTCGTATTTTATATATGTTTAATCATGTCAATGTGTATAAGAGATGAATAGTGCCATATCTAAATTTATACATATTAATATGAATAAATATGAAACATATTTTTTTTAATTTATATATAATTTTTATGTTTTTTATTATATTATTATATTATATTTAAAATTTAAAATTATCATGTCTAAAGCAATTGATGATTACAACGTCATAAATGACGTAATCTTTGTTTGTTCGACCGTTGTTTTCAACCTTTATTGTTGGTGCGGACGCTTATAAGGATTGTTTCTATCAAGTCATATTTTTACATTTATTGTCGTTTGATGGACGTTTCAATTATTTTTTTTTTGTTATTTGTCTATAATTTGTTATTCAAACAATACAAAAACCCAAAAGAGCTGGAATTCAATTTCAATTTAAAAATTTGATTAGTCAAGTGCTCTATGTATTGTTGCCTCTCAAAGTTTTTTACCTTTCATCTCATGTGAGCATCTTTTTCTGAATCACATGTGAAGATTCAATCTTTTTTCCTTCTATGCCACTCATATATCATCGCTGAAATATGGCTTTTGTGGTCTTGTAGTTATATCTCTAACCCTTGGATCACCTGGTGAAGTGATTCTTTTTCGTTCAGTACTTCAAAGTGCTTTCTTCTCTCTTTTGCCAGCATGACTTTCAATCTTTCCTTTTCGTTTTGGCATTCCACCAATCTTGCTGAGGTTGTAGAGTATAATCCCTTCCAATTCTGACATTTTTGAGAAATTTTAATGGTCTCCTCTTGCTTTTCTTGAGCTTTGCCCTTCTATTGGTTTATTCCCTCTCAGAGCTCATCCATTTCACATTGTCGGCTAAGGTAAGACTTGGTAACTTTTTCAATTTTGAATTGAACTCGTAACCTCTTATTTTTCTAGTGTAGATCTTTCAAATCACTATTAGCCAGATCCCGCTCTTTTATGACTTTTTCTAATCTACTCCCTTGTATCTTCGCTTCATATTTTAATTGTCTTACTTTCTCACAAAGTCTCAAATTTTTTCTTTTTATTTTTTTTTTTTAGCTTCTAATTCTTTCTTGACAAGCTCAACTTATGATAATTGCACCTCTTCTGAACGATTAACCAATTGATATGAGCTATCATCAGGAAGGAGTACTATGTCTCTAGGTCGCATTGCTTTCCAAATCTGATAATCAAAAGTGACTTTGTCAATGAGAGGCCCTAACCTCATTCTTTGTGTTCTTTTCCATGCTTGGATCAACTGCTCCGAGGTTCTTGATGGATTCGTCAGGAAGGAGTACTATGTCTCTAGGCCGCATTGCTTTCCAAATCTGATAATCAAAAGTGACTTTGTCAATGAGAGGCCCTAACCTCATTCTTTGTGTTCTTTTCCATGCTTGGATCAACTGCTCCGAGGTTCTTGATGGATTCGATTCCCTATAAATGAATTCTACTTGGACCAGGCCATGAGTAGCAGGAACAAACTGTTTTGCACCAAATTGCCTAAGTACCATCAATGGAGCGTAACTTACAACGTCCCATAGCCTAATAACGAAATCCATGGCTCATTTCCTCCACGATACAATAATGGCACACGAGGCATCCAAGACGTCATCCATTCGATTTCATCCCCAGTAAGCCTTCACAAGAAAAAGATCCATTCTTCCTTAGTCTTTAATGTCGGCCATTGGCTTTTACAAAACTCTTCGAGTGGTGCCTTATTTCGAAGTTATAGTTTCAAAAATGCACTCTTTCCACATTTGAAATGACTTCTGACCCATACGTATAATAGAGATGCACATCCTATGAATCATCCTTTCCCATTTCATCGACAGAAATTTAATGACCTGATAGTTTCAGCTAGGACTGCTGGAGCGGGATTAATTGCTTGGGTTTTAATTTGCTCAAAAAAATCTACCACCGTTATCTCAATGTAACCCAAAGCCTTCGAAAAGATTACCATGCCATACAATGCTAGAGCAAACACACCCATACCTTGATCATTATCCAAATGCTACTGAATGAAGTTTCGGAGAAAGTCCCAACGAATGTCGAGATGTTCACCTTTAGACTTCGCAAAGAAATCAATGGTTTCTACTTTAACCCCCATAAGCTTGGCTAACTTTTTGCAATAACCTGATTTTGGCTTTCGAGTAAATACTTTATCTGGACATTGTAGTTCTATCCCGAGCAAAATCAAATACTCTTCGATAGTTGGCATCAAATCTTTCTGATTAAAATGAAGCATCTATAGGATGGATCTCAAAACTGTATAGCTGCTTTGACCAGCTGTTCATCAATCATTATTGAAATGAGGGATGCAATCTGCCCATACTTTTTGTAAAAGCTTTCTTTTCTTTCTTCACTTAACTGACCTCAGATAGCAGTTAACTCTTTTAAATCATTCTGTGTGAGATCTAAATGCACTTTTTCGGGTAACTCAAACACATAACTAGTAGGCAAACAATCTTCATTCTTTTGTTGAGCCTCTTTTGACCAAACATGTACTTTATTATACGACTCACATGGCACACTGACTGAGGATGAGCAAATCTGTAGTTCTATGGGACCATGAAAACTTCTTGGGACAAATATGTCCTAGAGCAAATATCTCGATGCAAAACTGTATGATATGATTAATGCAAAAAAAAATGAAACAAAATTGAGTTAGTGTGGTTCGAAAAAACATTTTTTGTTTTTTAGTGTTTTTGAGATTTTTTTTTTGTTTTGTTTTGTATTATACTATACACAACTTTTATTCTTAGGTATTTTACTACAAGATGATGGACAAGGCTCTACATAAGGCTGGTTTTCTAGGCTTATTGTATGCTGGATTTGTATTGACAGGGTCTAAAGGTTTCCAAATTATTCCTCACTGTCGTCTATGTTGGACTAGTAAGGCACCCCGATTCTCACCCATTATAGGCTACGAACGGAAAGGGTTCAATTTGAGTGGAAGTATTTCGCTTGCCATTGCGGAGGTTATCACCTCACGAGAGCATAGGTACTTTACTTCCTTCTATAAAAGACGGAGCTCGGGTATAGAGCTCATGTATGAGATGCATCGTGCCATTGTGTACAAATATATCCTAATTTATTGAGAGCAATATATACAGAAAAATAAAACATAAGAGGCATTGTAAAAGAAATATGTGTGAATTTTTTTGCTTTTTATTTTTAATTTGTTTTTTTTTTCTTTTTTTTTGTTTTTTTACTAAAAATGAAAAATAAAAATTTAAGAAATTGATTAAGACTGTTTTAAATCAAAATTTAAGGATAACAAGTAGTTAATTTTGGCCTGACTCTAAAAAACAAAAGGCGTCCCCAGTGGAGTCGCCAAGCTATCGTAATGGTTTTGTGTCCGTCCGATGAATTTGAAAACAAAATAAAAAATAACGGAGTCGCCACCAATCTTTTTTGGCTAGGTGCGATTGGCCACCTATTAAAACATATCCTTTTAATAAAATCTTAAAATTAATTAAAATTTATTAAAAAGATAATTTTACAGCCTACGAAACAGTCTGGGTTCGAGAGTCGGTTACGTATGGGGAAGGATTAGCACCCCCACAATACCCGTTAAAAACGGTACCAATTAACAACGTATTATCCTTTGATTTTGATAAAAACAGTCTTATTTTCAGTATTCGAAAAAATAATTTCCTTGATTTTTTATTTATTAAAAAAATTATTCTCGAGAAAAATAAATCAAAACCTTTTTTATTGAAATAATTCTTAAAATGTTCCAGTACGTTGGTAACATTAAAAAAACTCTTTCTCACCTAAAGATTTCTTAAAGCATCTCTACTCGGAATACTTTTAGAATCTCATCTTTGGAGGCTCGAATTTATTTTTCGTAAGAAAATGTCATGTTAAAAAAAAAATTTATTCTCGAGAAAAATAAATTAAAACCTTTTTATTGAAATAATTCTTAAAATGTTCCAGTACGTTGGTAACATTAAAAGAACTCTTTCTCACTTAGAGATTTCTTAAAGCATCTCTACTCGAAATACTTTTAGAATCTCATCTTTGGGAGGTCTAAATTTACTTTTCGTAAAAATTATGTCATGTATGCAATGCAAATAATAACATGTTGATGCACACATCTTTTTCAAAAATTTTATTAATTGTTTTATTAATTTTTTTATTAAAATTAAAATTTTGAAGAAAAAGGAATTTAATTATATTGAAGATTTTCTATAAATATTTCAATACGCTGGTAATATTTTACAAAAAATCTTCTCACCTAGAGATTTCTTAAAGCATCTCTACTCGAAATACTTTTAGAATCCTATCATTGGATTAAATTTTTTTCCTTCCATTTTTATTACATATATTTTTAATTTATTAACCAATTTTTATTTATTATTTAAAAAAAAAAATCTTTACTGTATTGAAAATTTTTTATAAATACTCCAATACACTGGTAGTATTAAAAAAAAATCTTCTCACCTAGAGATTTCGTAAGCATCACTACTCGGAATACCTTTGAATCTCCTCGTGGGACAAAAATTTCCTTTTCCTACATTTTTTATTACTTTAGTATTATTATTAAGTTTATTTCTATATTATTGTTTTTTAAAGTTTATTTTAAAAATTAACATAATTATATATAAAAAATTTAACCACAATTTCATCATTTAATCTAACAAATATAAATATTTTAATATGTATAAATATTAATAAAATAATATATATAAAAAATAAGAAAAATTCAAAAAAAAAATTTTTTTACCTAAACCGGACCGGTCAACGGTCCGGTCAACGCACGGTTCGGTTCAACGATTCACCCGACGGTTCGGCTCGGTCTGGGTGGTTCAGTATCGATTCGATTCGGTCTGAGAGATTCGGTTTTGGTCCAGTCAGACCGGTTAGAGGCTGATTAAGGAAGCAGGTGTCGGGTCGGGTGCGCGGACCCCAAGTCGGATCACGGGTCGACGCGCGGATCCTCCTTGATCGAAACGGCGTCGTTTTGACCCTATGTTCAAAAAGACATCGTTTTGCTTTTATTGATTTCTATAAATAACTGAAATTTTTTTTTTTGCTCATTCTTTCTGTTTTTCAAAAAATAAAAGGGGAAGAGAGCTCTAGGGTGAGCTCGCCGGCCGATCGTCGGACCACCGTGCCGATCGCCATCTGGGTCACCGCAGGTAGTCGTTGTCAGTGGTTTTCGATCACTGAAAAAGGTGAAAATTTTTTTGGAAGTTCTCTACGACGCGATCTTTTCAGATCTGGTGTCTTTTTTATCGAAAACAGCCCCGATCGACATAGATCGGGGCTCAAAGTTTCGGTCTCCTTTCTTTTTTTTTTTCTAGACAGAATCGACTGATCTCTCTCCTTTTTTTTTAGGTGGCTTTCTGGCGCTGGGTTCCCTATTTCAGGGGACTGTTGTTTTTTTTTTGTTTTTGCAAAATTTTTTTTTTTACAGAAGCTGCCCTTCTCTTTTTTTGGTCATTTTTTGCTTCCATTCTGCCCTTCCCCCTTCCATTTGCAAATAACAAGCTCTATTTATAGAGCTTGTTGGGATTCAAATCCCAGATCTTCTGGGATTCGAATCCCATTTTTCAACTGAAAAATCACGCCTGTCGTTCGTGATTAGCGGCTTGTCGGTCGGTCGGTCGTTGACGACTAGCGGTAGTGATTTTGGACTTTAGGGATTGTGCATTTAATGCACTAGATTTGAATCGGATAAGGATGAAGAAGAAGGAAAAAGAAAGGAAGAAGAAGACAAACACAGAAACGAAAAAAAAAAAGAGAAAAAAAGAAAAAAAAGAAAAAAAGAAAAAAGAAAAAATAATAATAAAAAAAAAAATAGTGTTTACAACAAGTCTTATAATTAGTAAATTTGTTATAAGTGAAAATCACGTGCATGTGTATCTCAATAAAAATTAATAATAGTCTATTCTCCTAAAATTATCAAATTCAGAGTTTCTATGCTTATTTTTATTCTTTTATGCACACTTATGTTTTTTCACAAGATTCATCTCTATTTTTTGTAATTACTTTTGCAAACAAAATCTAAAAGATCCAAGTTGATAGTTATCATTTCGAATTTTATATCGATTCGATTTTAAAATATATTTTAAATTTGAATTAGGTATGAAGGTTTAAATTATTAATTTTTTTATCAAATAACTTTGAGAAACGTTAAAAATTATAATGGATTGAACGAAATTTTAAAATCCAATCATTTTTATTATCCTTATCTATAAATTTATAATTAGAACTAAATTGTCATTTTACTTATTTCATGTATATATACATATAAATTAATATTAAATTATGTTCAATTTTTAAAATGTAAAATATATATAAAATTTTATATCTGACTAACTTATCATAAAAATAAATTTTTTTAAAAAGTAAGAAGAAAATTACATATTTTCACTTTGTACCATCTTTATTTGCAATAATATTTATACACCTAAAATTTATATCAAATAAAAATAAATTACATGTCTTTATTAAAAAAAATAAAAACATATATATTATTGAATGATGAATTAAATAATAAAAAAAAGTATAAGCATACATTTACTTTTGTCTTATTCAAATTACTATATAAAATATGACAAATGTTAGGAGATGTGTAAAAAAAAAGAAAAATAAATTGAAAAAAATATTAATTTTCATAAAAACTAAC